ATGCAGATGGAAACAAAAAGAATACTGGGGTAGCAATACTCATAACTGACAAAACAGACTTCAAAAAAAAGGCCATAAAAGAGACAAAGGAAGTCACTACATAATACTAAAGGGATTGATACAACAAGAAAATATAACCCTGTAAACATCTATATACCCCATATTGGAGCACCTAAAAGTATCTTATATAATAAACCCTAATATGCAAATTGACCAAACGGTGGAACAACAGTTGCTATGCTGCACACTGACCCCAGGGGCCAGACACTTAATGCAGGAGCTGCCCCCTTGTGGTCAGTGCACTCCCACAGGGGGAGCGCCACTCAGCTGGCAGGCGCAGTGGTGGTGGCAGGAACCTCTCCCGCCTCCACAGAAGCACTAAGGACCCCTCGAGGGTGCAGGCCAGGCCGAGCCCTCCACCCCCCTGCCCCAGTGCACAAATGTCATGCACTGGGCCTCTAGTATATAATATAAAATCTTGGTGGATCATAAGGGAGAAGTTGACATTAATACAGTCTTAGTAGGGGACTTTAACATCACACTGACACCACTGGATAGATCTTCCAAACAAAAAATTAAGAAGGAAACAGACCTTAAGTGACACACTAGACCAGTGGTCGGCAAACTCATTAGTCAACAGAGCCAAATATCAACAGTACTTCTTCAAAATAGACTCGCCCAGGCCGAAAACCGACTTCTGCGAATGGGCCACGAAGTTTCAATCGCACTGTACGTGCGCACCTGCACATGATATTTTGTGGAAGAGCCACACTCAAGGGGCCAAAGAGCCACATGTGGCTCGCGAGCCACAGTTTGCTGACCACGGCACTAGACCAGATGGATTTAATTGATATTTACAGAAAATTTCATCCCAAAGCAGCAGAATATTCATTTCTCTCAAGTGCATATGGAACATTCTCAAAGATAGGCCACATGTTAGGACACAAAATAAGTCTTAACAAATTCAAGAAGATTGAAATCATATCAAGCATCTTCTCAGATTATAATGGTGTGAAACTAGAAATCAACTACAATAAAAACACTAAAAAACATTCAAACACGAGGCTAAGTAGCATGTTATTAAACAATGAATGGGTTACCACTGAGATCAAGGAAGAAATAAAAAATTTCATGAAAATGAACACACAACTCATAATCTATGTGACACAGCGAAAGCAGTTCTGAGAGGGAAGTTTATAGCATTACAGGCCTACCTCAAGAAACAACAAAAAGTTCAAATAAATAATCTAGAGTCTTATGTGCAGTGGTCTGGGCTGCCATTGCCACGATGGACAAAACTACCAACTTTTGGGGTCTGGGAGCCCAGCCGATCCGGTGCGGAGCTTCAATCGCTGGAAGAAGAAACACAGTCATAAGCAGAGTCAAAAGAAGCAGTTGAGGAAGCAGCTGGAGAAGCCCGAGTGGCAGGTCGAGCGCGAGGTTATCAGACGCCTCATGCTGAACTACGGGAAGATAAATGTAAATGAAATTACAAGATTTTCAGATCTCCCCTTGTCTAAAAAAACATCGAAAGGTTTGCAAGAAGTTGAGTACCGTTTGGTAACCGAGATACAGACACAGACCATCGGGTTGGCTTTGCAAGGTAAAGATGTCCTTGGAGCTGCCAAAACTGGATCTGGCAAGACTTGGCTTTCCTTGTTCCAGTGCTGGAAGCCTTATATGGTCTACAGTGGACCTCACAGATGGTCTGGGGGTTCAGATTATATCACCTACGAGAGAGCTAGCTTATCAGACCTTTGAGGTTCTCTGAAAAGTAGGAAAGAATCATCACTTTTCTGCTGGTCTCATCATTGGTGGGAAGGATCTGAAACATGAAGCTGAGAGGATCAATAACATAAATATACTGGTTTGCACACCAGACCGGCTTCTTCAACACCTGGATGAAACAATATGTTTTCATACTACTAATCTCCAAATGTTAGTTCTTGATGAAGCAGATAGAATCTTGGATATGGGCTTTGCTGATACCATCAATGCTATTATTGAGAATGTTCCCAAGAAACGTCAGACCTTGCTTTTCTCAGCAACACAAACCAAATCTGTAAAGGACCTTGCACATTTAATTTTGAAAAACCCTGAATATGTCTGGGTTCATGAGGAAGCAAAATACAGCACCCCTACCACTTTGGAGCAGAACTACATAGTTTGTCAGTTGCAGCCAAAAATAAGTGTACTCTATTCATTCTCGAGAAGCCACCTGAAGAAGAAAAGTATTATATTTTTCTCCAGTTGTAGAGGTTCAGTATCCATAGCGAGTGTCTTGCCAGCTATGTTCTGGTATTTCTATCCTTGCTCTGCATGGTCAACAGCAGCAGATGAGAAGAATGGAAATCTATAATGAATTTGTTCACAAGAGAGCTGCAGTACTCTTTGCTACTGATGTTGTAGCCAAGGGACTGGATTTCCCAGCTGTGAATTGGGTTCTTCAGTTTGATTGTCCTGAAGATGCCAACACATGTATTCACCGTGCAGGTAGAACTGCCAGGTATAAAGAGGATGGGGAAGCTTTACTAATTTTGCTGCCCTCAGAAGAGAAAGGGATGGTGCAGCAGCTCCTCCAGAGGAAAGTGCCTGTGAAGGAAATCAAGTAAGACAACTGGTGTGATGATGGGATTGTCAGGGTAACGAAGGCATGACATTATTATGCTTACTTATGTGTGCCCAATTCCCTCCTCCTTCTAATCTATTCTGCTGTTTGGTTTGTGACTTCTTTGTTTTTAACTTTTACAGAAGACTGTTAGTGGAGAAAATAAGATGAAAAATAGAACTTGTTAGCTTCAGGAGACATTGATGGTTGAAAGGATTAAGTCTCTTGGATGCCATTTTTTAAGGTTGTTTGTCTATTTCAGAGGATTCTATTTCCCTATCATTGAAGATATTTATATTGAGTGTTAGCAGAACTGAACAGAAGCTCACTTGTATTGGAGTCCTTGAAACACCTTAGCGTTTATTTGGAGGAAAACAGTTGGGAAGGTTGTTTAATTGGGGGCAGGAGTGGGAAGGAGGTTAGATGAAATAAGATTGGCTGATTTGGTAATTGTTGAATCTGAGTAAAAGTTGTCTACCTTTGTGTATTTTGAAATTTTCTATAATTAAAAAACAAACTAAGTAAAACCACCTCATCTATTACCATCTGTCACCACCTCAGACTTGCAGGAACAAAGTGATTCAGTCTAAAAATCAAGAAAGCAAGTGGGATTTCTTTTGTGAAACCCATACTCTTATAAGAATTTCATTTATTCCTGTAGCCTACCTGGGCAGAGTTAAGTAACAATTCTTTTATATTGTGCCTAATATCCAGATATGGAAAACGATAATATCCTTTGTTGACTTGTTTATTTGAATTTGGTTTTGTGATATTTGACTGAAAATGGAAATACACAAATGACATTAGATTTCATTTATTCCATTACAGTGATGATCCATCATCTCCCATAAAAGGCTACTTTCTAACTTTATAGAATTAAGTTACCAATGCTCATTGTACTGTTAACCTTAGTGTCTTTCACTTACTCAGCATGTGATGTTTAGAGATCTTTAATCTTTCATTTCTTTTTCCTGCATTATTAATATGCAAGAGAGTCAAATTTCTGTCTAGTAATTTCAGTCTAATCTGGCTCATAAATGAGAAATAATGTTATAAATTTAAAAGTACTGAGGAAAACAGGAAAATGCTGTGTACTATTTTTAATTTCCAAAATTGAGATGTCTTAGTTTAACCTTTATGTTTTTGTTATAAAGAATCAATCCAGAAAAACTTATTGATGTCCAGAAAAAACTAGAATCATTTTTAGCTCAAGATCAAGATTTAAAAGAAAGAGCTCAAAGGTGTTTTGTTTCCTATATACGTTCAGTATATCTGATGAGGGATAAAGAAATATTTGATGTGAGCAAGTTACCTATACCTGAATATGCCCTGTCTCTTGGTCTTGCTGTGGCACCATGGGTAAGATTTCTTAAGAAAATGCAGAAACAACAAACCAAAGAATTGATAGTGAGCCAAGATAAAAAAGTAAGTGAGGCAAGGGCCCCCTCCCTCACCAATGATGAAGAGGAAGAATTTAGAGCCTACTTCAGTGAGAAAATGTCCATCCTTCAGAAAGGTGGGAAAAGACCAGAAGGGACAGAAGATGGACTGGCTAATGGCATTAGTGATGAAGAGGAAGAAGAAAAGGAAGGTGAAGAAGAAGTGGAAGAGAAACTGGGAAAAGCAAATGGGTATCAGCCTCATTCTGGCCTTAGCACTGATGAGTCACAGAAGCAGAACGAAGCTCCCATGCAGTTCTTGGACAGAGATGATGATAATGAGGAGGAAGAAGATGAACTTGGCACTGATTTCTTTAAGGTGAAGCAACACAATGTGTTTGGGTTAGACCTTAAAGAGAATAAAGCATTACAGAAGAAAGAATCTTCTAAATCCAGTGTCAAGAAAAAAAGTGACCAAAGTCGCAGAAGCAAAAAAAGTAATAAAGAGAAATTTTAAAGTGAGTAAGAAAATAACGTTTACTGATGAAGGGGAGTTGGTTCAGCAGTCACCACAGATTCAGAAATCTGTCATGAAGGATACTGAGGAAGAGGATGACACTGGTGGTATCAATTTGGATAAAGCAAAGGAAAGGCTTCAAGAAGAGGACAAATTTGACAAAGAAGAATATAGAAAGAAAATTAAGCAAAGCATCAGGAGAAAAGATTGAAAGAAAGGGAAGCCAGAAGAGGCAAGCAAAGGCCAAAGATGATGAAGAAGCCTTTCTGGATTGGAGTGATGATGACGATGATGGATTTGATCCAAGCACACTTCCAGATCCAGATAAGTACAGAAGCTCTGAAGAATCAGATAGTGAAGAAATGGAAAATAATATTAGGTATGTTTCTACCATTGGTGGCCTTAAGTATATGAGTCTTCTCCGTTTAATTCAAAAGATGTAGAAACAAATGTCTCATGCTCTTCTCGTCATTTTAAGGGCTCTCTTACTGTTTCTTTAATCCCTGTTAACAAATGTAAGGGTGTTATAAAAGTTGTATTTTCTTTTTCTTCCTCTATTCTTTTTTTTCCTGTTCATTTGTAATGTGGACTTATTTGCTACCTGTCTAAAATAGATGAAATGTGATGATTTGAATAATAGTGTGGCTTGTTCAGCATTTGTTTTCAGAATACTATGTATTAGATTACATTGAGAGTCTATTGATTTAAAAGTTGAGGACATGGAACTCATGGGCATTCTAAACCAATGTGTCTATTTAGGCAGAAGGTAGGTTCTAATGACAGATGAAGTTAATGTGACTGAAGGGAAGAGAAAGCTTGATGGGACCCCTAAATGCTAGCCCAGGTAGAGTTGGAGAAATAGGCTACAGAGAGCTATAATCTGGTTTTAAGTAAGAACAACATTAAGAAACGGTCTTAAAAAGATTATCTCCCGAGAAGAAAATGCTGTAGGGAGATAACTTCAGTTACTCTTCATTTTAATCTTGTGCTCATTTAAATTATTCGGTAATAGTGAAAATGTTGTCCAAAATGCAGTCTTACCAAGTAATGCTAGAAACTTAAGACATTTGCTATTGGACACTTAGATAGTGGCTATAATAGCATTCTAGTGTATTTGCTGACAAGGGAGTGAGAATTAGCTTTACTACCACAGGAGGCACCATAGATGAAAATAATTTGATTAGTATTTCAAAAAAATGTTTAAGTGTATGACATGGGCTTAAATAATTTAGTTCCAGAGCATATTCCTAATCTTTAGAAATTAACTTTTAAGAGTAAACATACATCCTTTGCTTCAGAAAGTTCCTTAGTGCACCTGTTGAAACCTGAACTACACTGTGGTTAAGTTTGCTGCTCCTTTATGCTTACATAAATGTCTCTCTGTGAGAATGGTTTAAGGCAGTGGTCGGCAAACTGCAGCTCTTTGGCCCCTTGAGTGTGGCTCTTCCACAAAATACCATGTGCGGAGGCACATGTACAGTGCGATTGAAACTTCGTGGCCCATGCGCAGAAGTTAGTATTTTGTGGAAGAGCCACACTCAAGGGGCCAAAGAGCTGCAGTTTGCCGACCACTGCCTTAAACCATTCTCACAGAGAGACATTTATGTAAGCATAAAGGAGCAGCAAACTTAACCACAGTGTAGTTCAGGTTTCAACAGGTGCACTAAGGAACTTTCTGAAGCAAAGGATGTATGTTTACTCTTAAAAGTTAATTTCTAAAGATTAGGAATATGCTCTGGAACTAAATTATTTAAGCCCATGTCATACATTTAAACATTTTTTGAAATACTAATCAAATTATTTTCATCTATGGTGCCTCCTGTGGTAGTAAAGCTAATTCTCACTCCCTTGTCAGCAAATACACTAGAATGCTATTATAGCCACTATCTAAGTGTCCAATAGCAAATGTCTTAAGTTTCTAGCATTACTTGGTAAGACTGCATTTTGGACAACATTTTCACTATTACCGAATAATTTAAATGAGCACAAGATTAAAATGAAGAGTAACTGAAGTTATCTCCCTACAGCATTTTCTTCTCGGGAGATAATCTTTTTAAGACCGTTTCTTAATGTTGTTCTTACTTAAAACCAGATTATAGCTCTCTGTAGCCTATTTCTCCAACTCTACCTGGGCTAGCATTTAGGGGTCCCATCAAGCTTTCTCTTCCCTTCAGTCACATTAACTTCATCTGTCATTAGAACCTACCTTCTGCCTAAATAGACACATTGGTTTAGAATGCCCATGAGTTCCATGTCCTCAACTTTTAAATCAATAGACTCTCAATGTAATCTAATACATAGTATTCTGAAAACAAATGCTGAACAAGCCACACTATTATTCAAATCATCACATTTCATCTATTTTAGACAGGTAGCAAATAAGTCCACATTACAAATGAACAGGAAAAAAAAGAATAGAGGAAGAAAAAGAAAATACAACTTTTATAACACCCTTACATTTGTTGACAGGGATTAAAGAAACAGTAAGAGAGCCCTTAAAATGACGAGAAGAGCATGAGACATTTGTTTCTACATCTTTTGAATTAAACGGAGAAGACTCATATACTTAAGGCCACCAATGGTAGAAACATACCTAATATTATTTTCCATTTCTTCACTATCTGATTCTTCAGAGCTTCTGTACTTATCTGGATCTGGAAGTGTGCTTGGATCAAATCCATCATCGTCATCATCACTCCAATCCAGAAAGGCTTCTTCTTCATCTTTGGCCTAAGAAAAAACACAAGGGAAATTGTGGTGTAAGAATCAGCTAATAAATACTCAGGTCTTATTTCTAGACACAACTAAATACTCCTCTAACTAAGATCCTTAAATTAGAAGCCTTCTATTCTGGTGAAAGCCTCTATATGATTTTCAGAACCATAATCATTGGCAAAGAGAAAGAAAATGAGTCATTTCAAAAATAAAATATGGTTATGAAAGTAAATCATTATTAAGTCTCTCAAATGTAATATGGGGGAAAACTGTCAGTTCTGTTACTTCCATATAATACACCTATCAAAGAATCCTATCTAACAAAAGAGTAATATGTAAATTAACCGTCACTCCGCGACAAAGATGGCGGAGTCCATAGTGGCCAGGGCAAGACGCTGGCAGTGTTGCCCCGGCAACGTGAGGCCAGCTTCCGTGCCCTGGCCACACGGTAAGAGGGGAAGAGCTTCTGGCCAGAGGCCTAGGTGCGGGACGCTGGGCTTGCCTCACCCCCGGCGACACGAGCCCAGCGTCTGCGCTCTGGCCGCGTGGTGGGAGGCAAGGGGCCTGGGGCTGGAGCGAGGGACGCTGAGCTCGTGGCGACCTGAGCCCTGTGTCCCCGCCCCGGCTGCACAGTAAGAGGGGAGGGGCCTTGGGCCGCAGCAAGGGACGCTGGGCTCATAGCAACGGGAGCCCAGCGTCTCTGCCCTGGCCACGAGGCGGGAGGGGTGGGGCCTCGGGCCACAAGAGGAAGCCGAGAGCATGGGGAGCACGAGGAATGCTGGGAATCGTAGCTCTGGTGGCGGACGCCTTGCGTGATCTCCTAGACCAGCAGTTCCCAACCTGTGGGTCGCGACCCCTTTGGGGGTCGAACGACCCTTTCACAGGGGTTGCCTAAGACCATCGGAAAACACGTATAATTACATATTGTTTTTGTGATTAATCACTATGCTTTAATTATGTTCAATTTGTAACAATGAAATTGGGGGTCACCACAACATGAGGAACTGTATTAAAGGGTCGTGGCATTAGGAAGGTTGAGAACCACTGATGTAGGGGATCTCATTTTAGTTACCTTTTGATGCATGGCCTTCTAATTTACCTCTGTCTCTAGCACTTGAGGCAGCCCTTAAATTAGAAAACTAAGGTCTCTAGATTTTGTCCCCCCACCCCCATATCACACAAAAGTTGGTTTTCCCCACTCTTAGTTCCCACAGTCTCTTGTTCTTAGTCACTATGAATTTTTTCTTCTCATTTCAACAATGGTTAAATAAATCTATCTAGCAAGGTAGCAAGCTATTTATATATTTACTAGAGTCCCAGTGCATGGATTCATGCACATTAAAAGGAAATTAATTAGAAGAAATATTTTAGAGGCTGGGAAGGACCTTGGGAGATTGGCTGGCCGGGGAGGGACCAAGGGAAGTTGGCTCCAGGGCCAGGGAGGGACCACAAGAGGGCTCCAGGTCATGTCCAGCCCATCTCGCCCAATCCTGATCGATCGGGGCCAATGAGGAACCGTGGGAGGGCTCCAGGGTGTGTCTAGCCCCGACTTGCCCAGTCCAGATTGGCTGGACCCCAGCAGCAAGCTAACTTACTGGTCGGAGAGTCTGCTCCCTGGTGGTCAGTGTGTGTTATAGCAACTGGTCAAACAGTCAAACGAATGGTCGGACACTTAGCATTTTATTAATTTAGGAGGATTTTTATCTGACATTTTAGTTGTTTCATTTGAGAGGGTTTTTCAGAGTACCTATTTGGTATTCCACCATAATGCTAGGAACCAAAGTCATAGTTAACTCTTTACAGGGAAGCCTTGGATGATTTTACAAAGAATATAATAGTTTAAATGAGTATTAAAGTACTGTTAGGTGGCAAATTGAGGTAGAGTAGGAAAAACACATTACAAAAGCAGCAAATTAAAGAAACAGAGTTAAGATTGAAATGATTGGTTCCCCCGCTCCGTGCACGAATTTTGTGCACCAGGCCTCTAGTCCTATATAATAAAAGGGTAATATGCAAATCGACCGAAGAGCAGAATGACTGGTCTTCATGAAGTGCACTGACAACCAGGGGGCAGACACTCAATGCAGGAGCTGCACCCTGGTGGTCAGTACGCTCCCACAGAAGCCCTGAGCTGGGCTCACGGCTGGCGAGTGCAGCGGCGGTGGCGGAAGCCTCTCCCGCCTCTACGGCAGTTCTAAGGATGTCTGACTGACGGCTTAGGCCCACTCCCCTAAGCCAGCAGTCAGACATCCCCCGAGGGCTCCAGGACTGCAAGAGGGCACCGGCTGGGCTGAGGGACCCTCCAACCCCCACCAAATGCATAAATGTCGTGCACCGGGCCTCTAGTAAAGTATAAAATAAAGTTGTCAGTGCTCCTGTCCACACATGTGTAAATGTTAAAACTACCCAAATTATTAGGTGAAAATATAAAAGGCCAGGAGTGAGAGTACAGAGACCCTTTTGCCTGATGATTTTGATAATTTTATAACCACAATAATCTAAGTTTTAAAATAATCAGATGAGTACAAACTCATTAACAGTACGGGTTCTTCTAAATTCAAGTGTAAGTATAAAGTCAATGAGAACAATGGGAAAAGGAAAGAAATAGCAAGAGATAAGAAAAGCACTAACATGGATGAACTTGGGAACTATCCAGTTTTGTATAAGTAAGTAGGTAGGTGGGCCATTTTGCTTTTGTTTTATGGTAGTTTATTTTTGTCAAAGAATAAAGGATACAATGTCAAAATAAACTTACTACACATCCTATTTAATAAATAGCTAATATGCAAATGGTCATCATGCCGTCGTACCCTCACGCCAGGCCAGGGGACCTGAGGCTGCACTCCCCGCCTGGCAGGGCTTGACAGGGGACCTGAGGCTGTGCCCCCGCCCTGTGGGGCTTGACGGGGGTGGGGCCGACTGGGTGCGATTTCGAGGCACACACAGGAGGGCGGGACTTGACTCTGGGTCCCGCGGCGCACCCCAGACTCTGACAGGAAAGAGATTTTCATATACATTTTACTAATTTTCTTTCCTCTCTGACACTTCTATTATAGAGAAAGGGCAAATAGCAATATTAAAATATTTCCTCTAATTCATTCCCTTTTAATGTGCACGAATTTTGTGTACTGGGCCACTAGTTTATGTAATAAACATCTCACTAATTTTCTTCATCTCTGACACTTCTATTATAGAGAAAGGGCAAATAGCAATATTAAAATATTTCCTCTAATTCATTCCCTTTTAATGTGCACGAATTTTGTGTACTGGGCCACTAGTTTATGTAATAAACATCTCTTATAACAAATTTATTTCTGGCATACTGGTTTTGTTACCTAGTAGATAAGAAATACAAATAAGCATTTCTACATGCATTTAAAAGATTATAATTTCTCTCAGCTGCCATTTTTATAATTCTTCACACCACATGAGACAAACTTCAGTGATTCTTTATTTTCAAGTATTCTTTCACAGAAACTAAAAAACTCAGACTAGCACAGCAATGGAGCAGGCAGGCCACTACAGAAGTCCTCTAACACTTTGAACAGCTCTCCTTTGGTAAGTCTACACATAACAAAAGAAAGAAGATGTAAAGAAAATAAGGATTAGTCACCAGTGCTTAAGTTCATTATTGCTTTTTGGTGAAGCTTCCTGCTAAAAATAAAGGGTCTGGAGACAAATATCGGAGGGGACAAGGTTGCCACCAGGAGCAGTAAGCAGCACACCTAACAGCAGTCTACATGGTCTACTTGGATATAATCAAGCATGTCAATAAAAACTGAATGTCATCATATACTCAGGAACCCTAATCTCCTGGGCTACTAGATACTTCTAATTTTCCAGCCTGATTCTCTCAGAGGAATGTGCTGTCTGAAGGTAGAGACCGAGAACGATTCTCAAGATGTTTGGTCTCAGGTAACCTTTATACTTAAAAAGTACAAACTCACTAGAGTAGGTAAGAGGAAACCATTAAAGAGTAAATTTGCACCTCAGAGATGCTGGCAGCAATGGGACGAGGGTTAAAGGAAACAAGATTTGAAGGTAGTATTATTAAAAAACACAATAATCCAGGTGAGCAGGGGATTCAATAAAGACTTTGGCAGTGGAGATAGAGGTTGGGGGCATGCATGAAAGATGTTAAGGAAGGAGAACCAACTAGACTGTGGACCAATATATTATGGGTACATAATATATTCCAGAGAATCAATATGCACAGAAGCATAACTGTGCATGTTAAATATGGTCTAAGAAAGCAGTTTAGTAAATACTGTGAAGATGCCTTAGGAAAAATGCCTTTATTCAGCTATTATAAGTGCCGGACACACTACTAGGTTCTGGAGGTGCAGCCATGAATAAGACACAGTCCTGCCCTGATGATAAACTGTTCTGAGATAGTTACCCACACAAACACTAACATGAAATCCATGTTTTGCTAATTCTGATGAACAGCCAAATGAGAGTGAACTGACTCCACTGGCCCTGCTCAATGCCCAGCATCTGCTAGAATAGTCTTCCACTTGTAGACCCCTAACATGTAGCTGATATGAACCCTCCCCTCCAGTATGCCTCTTTCTCTCGGGTACTTGGCACTGCTGGGTTGGAAGGGACAACCACTTCTCTCCAACTAATCATTCTCCCATCTCTCTCCACCCTCCCAGCTTAAAACAAAACAAGAACCAAGAACCCCTGCTTTCACATTCACAGTCCTCTTGAAGCCCTGAGGAGGTTGGGAGGAAGTAGGTCACACACAAAAGAGATCAGGGTCACCTCTATGAACTGGTTGTTCCTGAAACATAGTTTCCGAACTTCTGAGGAAAATACTTCACCTAAAATAGGAATGATTTTTCCTAAAATAGTTATTTGGAAGATTCAATTACAAGTAGGGCAGATGAAAATATCTGGAAAAGAAATGTAACCTAGCTAGTTTTTACTTTGTTTTCAGTTCTGATGACCGAAGAAACAGATGAGAGGTAGCATTCATTCTCCTATAACAAATTTACAAAGTGCTCTGACAC